AACGTCGTCGGCGATGTCTCGTCCGTGTCTCACACACGCGGATTGCGAAAGAAGCGGGTTGCAAGAGAGTACGAGGGGAAAAAGAAAAAAATTGCTCATGTTGCAACACCCAACCCCACCAGATTGATGCGCCGGTTGATCAGATACAGAAACCGGACGATTTGTTTGGAGGCGGGCATGTACCCGGCCTGATATCTACGCAGAGACGCCGCATCCCAGTTTGATATACATGAACTGAAGTACCTAGAGCCAGACGCGTGCTATCATTGCGATCGTCAACTCGATCCCGCAATTCCATCCCAGGGCGTCGTCAGGGCGGCGGTGGCCTCCACTGCCATGGCAAGACCGTTTACTTCCCAATCTACGTTGTCCACCCTTCGCACCATGTCAGTCCCCTGTGCTAGGAAGATGGAATAGATCCACTCACAGCCATTTAGTTGTTTTGAGCTGCCTCGCGTCTTTCTTTTCTATGTTGTCGGCAGCGGTGTCAATCGCCACGATAGCATAATCTAGCTGATCGAAAACCTGTTGTAAAACCCCCATCAAAGACGGGGGGCTGGACATGTTAGCCTCTTGTTTGCCTTGCGTCAGGTTGAAGTCTCCGGATAGCCACATACACTACAGTTTGAACCTCGTGCCGGTCACGGTTCTGCGAAGTAGTGGAATCGTCTGGACTTGCCGACGCCTGGTCCACACATGGCTTTGAGGGGTCCATCTCTTGTCGGCCTTGGATTTTGCGGGAAGGCCCTCTGCGCCGTTGTAGAGCCCGGACCGCTTGTGTCGTCGGGTTGACTTCATGATGCCGGACCGGATTCTGCTGCATCTGTTGTAGACGTTGTGATTGGCCAAGTCGCCGAGGCCGTTGCCGAGGGGGAAACATGACGTCAGTTTGAGCGAAAAGGATCGAGGGTGTTCAGAATGACGGGCGATTATTCACAACGATGAAAGACTGGTGTGCACACCACGAGCAGGTTCCATACCACCACGGCGACGCCTTTGCCTTTAATACGGTGCGACGCGCCGGCGGCGTCATACCGTGATCGCGCTTCAGGACACAGAACCCGACCTCGAGCGTGCCCGTCATGTTCGTTACCAGTCTGTCGGGACCGTTTGATTGTTTGGTTGCGGAAGGGAACTGTGCTCCGGCGTCCTGAGCGATTGTCGTTGGAACGAAGTGGTGCATCTTACCCTTTCCCCTAGCTCGCACATCGCACTGGACCACTGACGAAGTGTGCGCGCCGTTGACTCGGAGCCAAGGCATGTGTAGTCGACAAACTGGCCGACAGAGGATGGCCCAAGCTCACTCAGTATTGGTGCCGGCCCAGCGTGTTCATGGCTGCTGTGTGGACCCTGTTCATCATCAAGCCGGCCCCGT